GTGGGTTTGCCTCGTACTCGAAGGCAACATGATTCTATTTGGGTCATTATTGATAGGATGACGAAATCAGCCCACTTCATTCCCGTCAAGCTTACTTTTTCGGCGGAAGACTATGCTAAGTTGTTCATCAAGGAGGTAGTGAAGTTGCATGGGATTCCTTTGCCCATCATATCAGATAGAGGTACTCAATTTACTTCATATTTTTGGAAGGCGTTTCAACAAGGACTTGGTACCAATGTTAAACTTAGTACCACCTTCCACCCTCAAATGGATGGTCAAGCGGAATGGACCATTCAAACCTTAGAGGACATGTTGAGGGCGAGTGTGATTGATTTCAAGGGTAATTGGGACGATCATCTTCCTTTGATAGAGTTTGCCTACAACAATAGTTACCGCTCTAGCATTGACATGGCTCCGTTTGAAGCACTATATGGAAGAAGGTGTAGATCTCCGGTTGGGTGGTTTGAGGTAGGTGAGTTTGCTCTAATGGGTCCAGAACTAGTCTATGATGCCATTGAAAAAGTTCGACTCATTAGAGAAAGGTTGAAGACGGCCCAAAGTTGGCAAAAGTCCTATTCCGACAATAGAAGAAGGGATCTTGAATTTGAGGTTGGTGATTGGGTCTACTTGAAAACCTCGCCTATGAAAGATATGATAAGGTTTGGCAAGAAGGGGAAACTTAGTCCCCGGTATGTGGGCCCATACCAAATCTTGAAGAGTATTGGGAAAGTTGCTTATGAGGTGGACTTGCCAAATAAGTTGGCTCCGGTTCACCCGGTGTTTCATGTTTCCATGCTCAAAAAGTGTATTGGTGATCCGGTTTCCATCCTTCCTTTAGAGGGTTTAAGAGTTCACGAAAACCTTTCTTATGAACAAGTCCCGGTTGAGATTTTGGACCAACAAGTGAGAAAGTTGAGAAATAAGGAAATAGCTTCCGTTAAGGTTTTATGGAAGAATCACTTCGTTGAGAGTGCTACATGGGAGGCCGAGGCCGATATGAAGTCCCGTTATCCTCATCTTTTTCCTTCTACTCCTAATCAAGCATGAGGTAACTAGTTCCTCTTAAGTTTAGTGTTTGGGAGTCATATTGTGCATGTTCTTGTGAGAATTCATGTTTAGTATATATTGAGTTTTCAATATTTACATATTCCTCATGTTGATTTGCATTTTGTATGATGACTGCATTTTTGACTCCATAAGATGAAATGATGAACATGCTTGATGATATGTTGATGAGATGACATGTTCAATTTGCATTTTGTATGATGATTGCATTTTTGACTCCATAAGATGAAATGATGAACATGCTTGATGATATGTTGATGAGATGACATGTTCGCTCTATATTGTTGTGTTGAGCTTATTTGAGTTGGAGAAGTTAGTTCCTCCCATTCTTATGTGAATTGATGGGTTGCATGCATATTGAGTTAGTAGAAGTAGTTCCTACTTTCTTGCATTGCTTTGACCATGTTTGTAAAAGGAGTTGAGGGTTCCTCCTTTTGAAAAGTGCAAGTTGTGAATGGTGCATTTGTTAGTTTTGCACATTTTTTATGTTTCTTGCATTATGGGTTGTTGGTTTAGAGTTTCTAACTTAGTTTGGTGTTTTGATCATCATTCGAGGACGTAACTTAGTTTGGTGTTTTGATCATCATTCGGGGACGACTGTTCCCAAGGGGGAGATAATGTAACACCCCGTATATCTAAAGACCTAAGCTAGAGCTTAACGTGTAGTCTAGTAGCCTAATGAAGTTAAAACGTAAGGTGAGAGTCTGAAAATAACTTCCCTAACTTGGTACTAAGGTCCTAGTGCCTAAACGTCAAGGCATGGCTCCCACAATAACTCCTCAAGGGTCCTTGATGAGAGCCAAGGGGCTGCTCTAAAAGCGGCCAAAAGCAGCATCATCCACGAAACCAAGGACCACGAAGCGTGGACTGACTCACGCCCCATGGATGGGAGTCATGAGTCAGGACTTAGTCTCCTCAATCTAGCCCCAAAACTTCCTAGTCACAACCCCATTTGATGCCTGGACAGTATGGTTCGTGGACCATACCACCCCCCGTAGGTGGGGGCTCGTGGATGGGTCCTGGACCAAGGCCAAAAGACCAGCCTCAGACCTAAGCCACGAGTGACCAGTACTGTCCATGGTTCAGACCACTTCCCATGGTTGGGGACTCGTGAATGGGGCCTGGGAAGGCTGCCTTAAGTCGGCTAAGTGGGGGTAGTTTGGTAACTTACTAATTAATTAAGTTAAGGTGGGGACGATTATTTTTAGTTGTTTTAAGTATATTAAAGTATTTTTAAGTATTAAACAAGTCTTTTAACTCTCATAACTCACAAACTCAAAATCAAACCCACTTCCCTGTCAAAATATTCTCTCTCTAAACTCCATTGAAGAACAAAGAAGAATCTCAAGATTAGGGTTCAAGCTCCAAGCTTTTCACTCCAATTTCATGGGAAAACATCAATTAAGGTATGGGGACTTTGATTCATGGAACACTTT